GAGGCATAAGACATGGTTGGCTACAGGTGAACTTGAGGGAGGATGGGAGGCTTTCAGTTCAAGCTTAATAGCAGAAGCCCTAGCCCCACTTGCACCCCTTCATATGGTTCTGCTGGCTTTAGCAAGTCTGAGCTTATCCTAGGCCATTTGGCTCTAGGTCATTAGCTTCCAGCTTCTTAGTTCCTGTTAGGATCATCTCTAGGCAAATCCTTAAGTTCAGGTTAGGCTATACTGGACAGGGGCTGCTCTTTGGGGTACAGGTTATGTGTTATCACATTATCAAAAATTATTGGTAAGCTAAATTGCTGGGGGCAAGGCAGGAGGAGGGTGTCACCTTAGCCAGGAACCCATCTGGGGTCCTATGGAATGGACTTTGGAAAAAGCAGCCCCCTGACCTTTTTGTGTCCACAGGCCTGGACCACGTCTTCAAGTTCAGAGTCTGGCCTACAACTAGCAGAATGGGAGAGTGAGAGGTGGGACCCTGCCAGAGGCCCTACAATTAGAGCAGTTGGTTGGGCTAAAATGGCCAAGGGTAGGGTCAGGATTAACATCTGACTGAGTTTACTCCCGGGAGGGCCTGAAATGTGAGGCAGCCTCAGACAGAGGCAGCAGCCTCTCCTAATCCCCCTGCCCTTGGGACCTGCTCCAGTGTGTCCTCAGCCAAAGAGAAAGAGCCTGGATGCTTCTGAGTATACTTACCCCATCTCTCCCATGGCCAGGCCCTTGTGTGAGCACCAGGAAGCTTCTTGAAGTAAGGAAGAAGCAGCACAGCAAGGCTCAATTTGGCTCCGCCAAGGGACAGAAGTTTCCATCTTGGGCAGCTTTGCAGAAGCCATGGGCTTGGCGAAGCAAGCCTAGAATTGGGAACTTGGAACTTGAAGAAACCATAGAGGTTACTTTATTGTTGGGGAATCAGGCTCAGTATATTCATCAGGGAAAATGCTATAAGAGACCCAAAACTATCTCTCAGAAGATAAAAAGTCCAGGTTGGCAGGGCTGCTCCACAAGGTCACTCAGGGACCCAGCTACCTTCCATCTTATTTCCCTGCATACCTCAGGGTGCTGTTTTCATCAGCATAGTCAAATCTGGGTGCTAGAACATCCATATTCTAGCTTGTGGGAATGGGGAAAACAGGAAGCCCTGGAAAAGCAACTTCCTTGTAAGTAAGAGAGGCAAAAGTAGCTTATTATCTCTCCTGCTTACAAATGAGAATAATAACTCATCTATACCTACTTGCAAGGGAGTCTCCACTTGGGGATCCATGTGCTCTGGCAGGAGAGGAGAACAGAGGCTGAGGATACTACCAGCCATCTGCCATTCTCAGGAAGGGGAAGTTGCCTGAGATCCACAGAAGAGAAATCAGAACCAGAATCAAGATTCAGGCCTCAGCTATCTGAGAGGCCCGGGGCTGCACTGCAGGCTGCCCCAGGCTGTGGCTCAATCTGCCAGGTTTGGGCATATCTAGTACAGGCCGCGTGTGGTGGCTGACGGTGACATCAGCTCTGACAGGACTCAGCTATTCCTATGACTCACCCAAAGGGTGGCCTGTTGCTGGGGCTCAAAGTTTGGCTTGGAGAAGCCCAGGCAGGTCCTGGGTAGCAGCAGCCATGGAGGAATATGTGCCTCCAGAGGAACATTTTTTTCTCCAAACTTGTGTCATTTGGGACTGGCTGGGCCTCTCAGACAGATCAGGTCCTGGGTGGAAGAACTCCATCTTGAGGCAGGGGTGGGACAGGAGAACACTGAGAGATGGGAGGAGTGCTCCCCCACCAGTGCCACATACCTCGGCCTCTGCCTGTAGCATCCAGGAGGACTGCTTCGGAGATGTGTGTGCTGCTGGGACATGCGGTTGTAGCTCCAAGGGGACCACCTGTACGTGGGTGTCTTCACTCTGGAGAGCTTGTTGGTAACAGTCGGTTTGCTGGAAATGAGTCAAGGTGCATAGCCCCACGGGTCAGTGGGCCAGGGTCCACCAAGCTCAGGAGCCCCAGCCTCAGGAACACGTGGGAACACCTGACCTCTGAGACCCAGGTCTCCAACCTTCAGTGGACAGGTGATCAGTAGGGTGGGAGAACACAGAGATGATCCCTACTCATGCACAATGGACACTCAGATTGAGATTCTGAAGCTGCAGGTTCAGCTGGGGTGTTCGTAGCCTCAGAGAGGAGAATTGGGCTCCAGGAGACCCCTTGGTAAGGGTCTCTGAGGGATGGGAGGTGCAGAAGTAAAGTCATTTAGAGATCGGGAGAGTCCCATACTCTAGCTATGCCTCACTCCGGCTGTGGAAGCCTGTGAGCTTACCAGCACCTCACAGGGCTTTGTCATAACCAACTCTCAGAACAAGCTAGTTGGCTAGATAAATAAGAGAGTGGAGAGGAATATTTGAACCAGGCAAATTCTCCCAACTGGGCGTAGGGTGGTGGGAGTGAGGAGGGCAAGGGAGAGTTCAGAATCTTAGAGTTGGGTTGAGCGCTGAGGCCTTATGCCTGACCAAGTTCGCTCCCAAAGCATGGGGCTGGAGGAGAAGATGCAAACACTTAGAGCTTAATAGTTGTTCTTTTATCCCTGCCACACAAATAATTATACAAATAACTATGTAATTAACTTGAGCATTGTGATAACAGCTAGGAGGAAAAGCGCAGAGGGCTGCACCAGGCTGTAACAGGGAGGTGTAATCTAGTCTTCGGGGTTGCAGGGTACGCCACCCTGATGAAGGAAGTGACATTAAACCTCAGGCCCAAGGGTTGAACAAGAGGTCTGAAAGAAGAGGAGAGGAAGAACATTCCATGCAGAAGGAAGGGTGCATCTGCAGGCCCAGAGCAGGTGGTGGTTCAGACAATGGTAAGGGCCATACATGGCAGTACAGGTGCAAGTAGCGGATGTGGGTGATGGGAGACACCTCCTGAGAGCCTGCTGGGGCAGAGCCAAGGTACAGGAAGGAAAGGGGGTTTCTGCAGAGGGAAAGCCACTGCAGGTCTGAGGTTTGGCTGACAAAATCTGATACGCTTTTTAAAAATATTATCCTGGCTGGATAATGGGATCTCAGTGTGGATACAGGGAGGCCAAGGAGAGGTTCTTGCAGCAGTGGGCAAAAGAAAGTGTCGCTTGGACTAGGGCAGGGCAGTCACTGTGTGATTGGAGGGAGTGTCAAAAATGTCTCTCTGATTTATTCTACATTTTAAAAAATTATAAATTACTTATTCATTAAAGGTAATGAGAATATTCTAAAAGTGTATAATGAAAAGTAATTCTTTTACCTTAATTCCCCACCTTCCATTCTCACCTGCTGAGGTCACCATACTGACGACCCGAACAGGCAGCCTTGCACATCTTTTCTTCATGCATCTAAACAGAGAGAAGTTTTCTTTTAAATGGGATAATACTACTTTATTCTGCAACCTACTTCTCTTGTTCAACAGTACATCACAGACATCCTTTGCAAGTCAATAGCTGTAGCTCTAATTCATGTTTTAACAGCTGCATGATATTCTACAGCTTGGTGTATGACAATTTATTTGATCACTGATTGACATTGATATTCAAATAGTTTCCAGTTTTCTGCCACCACAAACAATGCTGAAATTATAGGGTTGTACTTACATACTGGCGATTTTTTCCCCATTTCCCCTAGGATACATTCCCAGATGGAGGATTTCTGGGTCAAAAGGCAGGTGCATTTTTAATTCTAATAGCTAGTGCCAGCTTACTTGCTCCAAATTGTAATAGATTGGGCCAGATTACATGCTGAGCAGCAAAAGAGAGTACCCCTTTTCTCAAATTTTTAGCAGACCTGAACATTTGACTCTTAAAAAAAAATTGCCAACCTGATGAATTAAAGTCATGAAAACTTATTTTGCTTTAATTTGCATTTTCCCAACTAGCAATGAGGGATAAGCATCTTATTGGCCATTTAGATTTCCTCCTTCTGGAATAGATTGTTCATATTTTTCTTTTCCACTGTCCTCCTAAGCATTTGTCATTTTCTTTACAATTTATAAAAACTCTTTTTATATTTGGCATATTTTCCCTTTTTACTGATATGTATTTTGCAAGTATTTTCCTAGAAAATCATTTGTATTTTTTCTTTGTTTATGGTATCTTTCACCATCAAAGTTCTAAAAATCATATCTAGTATATCTATCTTTCTTTTTTTTCTCTTGCAGGTGTTCATCAAATTTACTCATATTTTTATTATCCAAATCTATTCAATTTTTCTCTTAAAATTTCTAATATTTCCATTATTTCACTTTCATATTAAAATCTCTAAGGCTTTTGGAACACAATCTTTTTATTTGCTGGGTAGGGATCCCATTTATATCTTCCAGATGGATAAACAAGTATTGCAGCACAAATTTTAAAACAGCTTTACTGAACTATAAGTCACATGTGATGTAATTTACCCATTTAAAGTGCCCAATTTGATGCAGTTTAATATACTCACAGATAGGTGAATCACCAGTCAATGTTAGGACATTTTCATCCCCTCAGAAAGAAACCCTGTTTTGCTTTGTATTTATATCCCACAAATAAGTGAAATCATATGGTACTGGTCTTTCTCTGCTTGGCTTATTTCATTGAGCATAATGCCCTCTAGATCCATCCATGTTGCTGAAGAAGACAGGATTTCTTTTTTTTACAGTTAAATAATATTCCTTAATAATATGGGTAACTGTTGAGCCACTGTGTTGTACACTTGAAACCAATATAAGATCGTATATCTGCACCATTTCATACAGCAGTGTATGAGTTCCAGTTTCTCCACATCTTCACCAACATTTGTTATTATCTGCCTTTTTGATTCTAGCTTCCTAATGGGTATGATTTGGTATCTGATTGTGGTTTCACATGCATTTCTAGAGATGCTGAGCATCTTCTCAGGTGTTCATTGACTTATTTGTTCATCTTCCTTGGAGAACTATCTCTTCAGATGGTGGTACCATTTATTAAACTTTTTTCTCTCATGATTTGAAATGAAGCTTTCATGATACATTAAATTCCTTTCCACATTTGTATCTATTCATTGGTCCTTTGTTCCTCTGATCTATTTCTTTCTCTCTGGCTTATGCCATACTGTTCAGATCATGGTGGCTTCATATTTTTTTTTATTAAGGTATTATTGATATACGCTCTTATGAATGTTTCACTTGAAAAACAATGTGGTTACTACATTCACCCATATTATCAAGTCCCCACCTAAACCCCATTACAGTCACTGTCCATCAGTGTAGTAAGATTCCAGATTCACTATTTGCCTTTTCTGTGCTACACTGTCTTCCCCATGACCTCCCACAACAAGTGTACTAAACATAATACCCCTCAATCCCCTTCTCCCTCCTTCCCCACCTGCCCTCCCACACCCCTCCCGTTTGGTAACTGCTAGTCCCTTCTTGGAGTCCGAGTCTGCTGCTGCTTTGTTCCTTCAGTTTTGCTTTGTTGTTATACTCCACAAATAAGGGAAATCATTTGGTACTTGTCTTTTTCCACCTGGCTTATTTCACTGAGCATAATACCCTCCAGCTCCATCCATGTTGTTGCAAATGGTAGGATTTGTTTCTTTCTTATGGCTGAATAGCATTCCATTGTGTATATGTACCACATCTTCTTTATCCATTCATCTACTGATGGACACCTAAGTTGCTTCCATATCTTGGCTGTTGTAAATAGTGCTGCAATAAACATAGGGGTGCAGATGTCTTTTGCTTTGTATGTTTTATTATCTAATAAATTAAGTTCTCTTGAACTAGTCTTTCTTTTCATGTTTTCTTAACTAGCTTCAGATATTTATTTTTCAAATGTATTTCAAATTAAATTTTTTTATAGTTCTAAAAAACTGTTTTAGTTGGGATTCTAATAGAAATTGCATTAAATATATATATTACTTGTGAAAGGACTTGCTTTTCATGAGAATAAGTCTTTTCTTTGAAACACAGCTGCCTTTCTGTATGTTTAGATCTTGTTATATGTGCTTCAATATGACTTCATGACCTTTTTCAGACTTTACCTTTGTGCTGGTTGTTTTAAAGGTATTCCTGAGTATTTTATAGTTTTGTCACTACTGCAAATCATCTATTTCTTCATTTCTAATATATCACTGCATTTAGAAAAAACTATAGATTTCTGTCTGTATACAGTATGTTTAGCTACTTTCCCAAATATTTAACCTAGTAGCTTCTCTGATGAGTTTGTTTTCTTGTCTTATTGAATTAGTTAAAATATCCAAAAAATGTTTACTAATAGTGATGATAATGAGCATCCTATCTTATTCCTAGTTTCTGGAATTAACTTCTGAATGTCATTGTTTATATATTTTCTCTTAGGTTTTGGTAAAAAATCTTTATCAAATTAAAGTATTTTTTTTCTGTTTCTGTTTTGTTTAATATTTTATTAGCAATATTTGCTGAATTTAATCAAGTGATTTTTGACATCTATTACTATAATCATATTTTGTTCCCTTTGTTGATGTAGTGACCAATATTGATAGATTTATTGAGGTTGAATTATGTTTGTAGTGTTAAGATAAGTGGTCCTTTATATGGTGCATTATTCTTTTGATATTTTTCCCATATCCAGTTCTCTAATATCTTATTTCAGATTTTGCGCTCATTCAAACTGGTCTGAGACTTTTTTCTTTCTTTTTAAATTCAATCTTAATGAGGTTTGGGAATTAAGAAAACGCTAGCTCATAAAACACACTGGGAAGATTTCCAACTTCTCTTGTCTGGAATAGCTTAAATAACATTAAAATTCATCTGTTTTTAAAGATTATGTAAAACTCATTTTCAATATTATCTGTGCCTTGTGATTTATTTTATTTTATTTTTTAATTATGTAAAATACATATAAATAAAATTCACTATTGCACCCATTGCTAAGTGTACAGTTCAGTAGTGTTAAGTATGGCCACATTGCTATGCAACCAGTCTCCAGAATTCTTTTCTTCTTGCAGAACTGACATACCCATCAAGCAAAAATTCCCCATTTCTCCCTCTCCCTGCCGCTAACAACCACCATTCTACTTTCTGTCTCTATGAATTTGACTATTCTAGGTACCTCATATAGGTGGGATCACACAGTATTTTTTTTATGACTGGTTTATTTCACTTAGCGTATTGTCCTCTGTTTTAGCACATGTCATAATTTCCTTCCTTTTTAAGGCTAAATAATATTCCATTGTGTGTATATACAGTTTGTTTATCCACTCAACCATTAGAAGATACCTGAGTTGCCTCCAGCTTTTGGCTATTGTGAATAATGTTGCTATTAACATGGGTTTATACATATCTCTTCAAAACATTGTTTTCAGTTCTCTTGGGTATATGCCCAGAAGTGGAGTTGCCAGATTATATGGTATCTTGTGATATTTTAATAATAAAGTTTTAAGTCCTTTTTAAATCTCCTGTTTATTGACCTATTCAGAATTTCATTTCTATGCTCAATTTTGAAAATTTTCTACTTTACTTGGAAATCATTTGTTTACTCTAGGTTTTTACATATATTTTCTTAAGCTTACAAATATTATTGCCATAATGCTTTACCCTTTCCTGTACCTTTGATGTATTTCTTTCCTTATACCTAATATTTTATATTTTTGCCTTCTTTTTCTTAACCAGGTTTGCCTAGAAGGGTTATTGCCATTTTGTTGCTCTTTTCAAAAAACCAGATGTAATGGGGTATAAATTTTCTTTTAATTACATTTTCTATTATTTGTTTATTTTCTATTTAAATCATTTCTGATTTTACCTTTACTGATTTTCTAGTTTCTTGTGGTTTAATTTATTCTCTTTCTAATTTTTTAGATTAATTAAATATCAAGTTCTCTTGCTTCTTTTTTTATATTAAAAGCATCTAGGGCTATGTTTTTCCCTCTGAGTATGGCTGTCCCACAGATTCTTAATGGTACTCTCTTTTCCTTTTTGCTACTAGATTATTGGTAATTCCAGTTTTGATCTTATTTTTGATCCAGTAGTAATTTTAGACAGTGTTTCTTAATTTCCAAGCATTTTATGCTTTTGGCCTTGAAGTTAGCTTTGTTTGACATTAATATTGGTATTTCTACTCTCTCTCTGCTTCTGGGTATATTTTTGCCCATTGCTTTATTTTCAGTCGTCTTTGTCATCTTGTTTTGGAAAATTTTCTTGCAAATAGCATTTGGCTATGTTTTATTTTTTAACTTACTCAATCTATTTTTTGATAGGGAAACCCAGTCTCTTCATATTTAGTGTAATATACTGATATACTTAGCTTTACTTCTCATTTCATCTTATTTTATGTATTTATTTCTTCTTTTATTTCTTTTTCTTTTTCTTTTTTTTAAACTTTTGCTAGCTTGGTTTAAATTTTGTTTTACTTCCAGATTTCTGGTATTAAGAACTAAGTGGATGGTTTACTAAAACAAGATTGGGAAGAAATATCAAGAGTTCAACTTGGATTTTAAAATTTAAGATCCCTTTGAGACATTCAAATGGAGATGTTAAGCAGGCATTTGTAAGTCCTACAGTAAAGCTCAACAGTGAGATCCTTAGTGAAGGTCACATACACTGCTGAGGGTGGCACCCCAGGGAAGGTATTCCAGGAAGGCTAGGACCTCATCCTCAGGAATGCCGACAGCTAGAGATCGGACGAAGGAGGAAAAGCTGGCAATCAACAAGAACTAAATAGAATATCCATGGGGGTAAGAGGAAAACCCAAAGAACATGTTAGTCTAAGGAAGAAACATGTTCAGAAAGGAAGAAATTAAATGCATTTAGCACTGAGATGTCAGGTAAGGCAAGGCCTGAAAATGGTTCTTTAATGACATAAAAGTCACCGGTGAGCTCAGCAAACCTTATAGCAGCTGAAGCCAGATAGAAGTGGGTGCAAAGAGAGTGAAAGGTAAGGAAGCAAGACAAGAAAAGGGAATAGTTAGCCAAGAATCTCAAGGATGGCATGTGGCCCAGGGAATTCATGTGATGTGAGTGAGACACAGGAGTTTGTTTGACTGTTGTGGTAAAAGGTCCAGCAGAATGGGGAGACTGAGGAGAGGGGAAGAGCCCATGGACACCTGGATGGGTGGTAACAAGTAGGCCAGAGCACATGCTGAGGCACAGAGCTCAGGAAGGAGGAGGCCAAGTTCTCCAGGAGGGAAGGCACATGTGATGGGAGGAGCATAGACCTGGAGGCAGGGGAACTTCCCCTGACACTTCCCTTCCTGTCTGACACTTCCTCTCATCTCATCAAGGTAAGAGGTGACACCATCTGCTGAGCCTGGGATAGAAGAGGGGGACCAGAGCACTGGGGAGATGTTAAGGGAATTGAAGCAGAATATCAGGAGTGGGGAAGAGCAAGCATTGCATCAGGAAGCCCTCCAGGCGGGACGGTCAGTGGGAGCAGAGCCTGTGGTCAGCCTGACAACACAGATGCCCTCTGGGGCTCCTCCTGAGTTCCACTGCCACCAGGCAAAGCTGGCAGGGGAGGGGGCTGCTCCCCTACTATCGTTCCAGCCCAAATTTACTCATGCAACCTTTCCCTTCATGTCTATCATGTAGCTAAGACAGTCTAGATCCTAAAAGCCACACAAATGCCAAGTGCCAGATTTCATATTTTTACAGTAATTAATAGATCATCTGATTCTCCTCTTTAGGATCGTCCTTTCCAAAAAGTTGTGAGGCCTTCTAGGAAGGTTTGCACGTGTAACCCAAGGGCCCTCTGGACACCACTAGATTTCATATTCTGGATACAGTCATTTTTTTCTCTAACAATACCAGGGTTGGGAGGTGGGGTTGATGGGCTAGGGGAACAGATGCCTCCCATGTAATAGAGCTGCTGCCCCACACTCTTGCCAGCTTGTCATCCACTCCATGAATGCAGTGCAGCCAGTGGCCAGTGCAGCCAAGCCACTGAAACTAGCTGCTCTTGTCCCTCTCGGCCCAGCAGGGAGATACCTTTCAGAGCAGGATCTCAGACCAAAGCTGTGGGGTCCCAAGTGACCTGGTTCCCCATTTGCAACACTACCTTCTTCTTGGGGTGCTGATTGGGAGTGGGTCAGGCCCTGCTTTGCTCCATACCTATAACTGTTGCCCCCTCTAAACTCCAGATCTCGCTGTTCAGTTTGGTCCCCTCATAAGTAGTGCCTCTCAGGAACCTTACTGTCTCTCCTTCAGAACAGCCCTTGTCGGGAACCTCGGTCCTTACCGTAGGTATGTCCATGTCTAGATCTCAGCTGTAGACTGAGTTAGGAGTGTTTCACCAGGGCATGGGGCCCATATAAATTTAGAGATGGAGGTGGGCATTTGTTTCCACATCCTTGACCACTCCATGATGGTTAAGCTGTCTGAACTCTTTCCTCTTCGAAAACCAGGAGGCAGGTCTTCTAGAGCTCACACAGACCTCTGGGGTGAGTGAGGGTGGGGGCAGGGGGGGCTGGGTGTTCATCCCTCAGGCTGGCCTCGCTGCTTGTGAACTCCCCCCAAGGAGAGATACTCAAATGCAGGGCCATGCTAGGCTACATGGTGCCTTTGTGCAAATTAGCAAAAGGTGCCCTCTCTGGGTGGGTGCAGCCCATGCCAGGCACAATGGCTTGGAGAGCAGAGAAAGGGCAGAATTTCAGTATCCCTTATCCCGTGGGCCTGATACCCTAGTACAGAGAACAGCTGACACTAATCTAGGCAGGGGCCATGCCCAGCTGCACAGAGAACTAAATCACACAGAGACCCAAATGCTGGGCCTCCAGAGGAAGTGTGTGCTTGGGTTCTGGTCCCATGCCATCTGAGATCCTGGGGAAAAAACGATGGTGCCCAAGGGTCTCTCTGGCCATCTTTCTTGTTATCTAATTTCCAGGAAAGCAGAGTTCCCTTCCCTGCCTCTGCAGTTCCTATTTTCTCCTGTGTTGACTCTCCATACTGTATCTGTTCTCCCATCCCTGGGGAGAGCTGAAACCCTGCTTCCCGGGGCTGATCTTATCTCCCAGGCCTCACCAGGATAAGCCACACACCCCTCAGCAAGGTAGACTTCACACAGAGCCACCCACTTAGAAGAACACAGGGGAGCTATTTCCTTAGAGGACTTTGAGAAGTGGGCGAGGGATGTCATGAGAAGTCATTGAAGCAGGAACCTGCAGGGTAAATTCAATCACAGTGAAGCAGTCCAGAAGGTCAGGAGTGTTAAGATTGCTGTTGGAAATACTGAATTGAAATAAGGGGTAATGGTGGATAATTATAAAGATTTCTCCAGATCTCATGAAGGACCTGAAATGATAGAATAAGTAGTCAAGGCTTTGTCTTGTGCACAATGGGGAGCCATTGAAGATTTTTGAACGGGAGAGTAGCGGGGTCAGATCTTGGCACCAGGAAGATGACTTTAGCGGCTTGTGCAGGATGGCAAGAAGGAAGATTTACCAACCTTGGGCATGGGTTAGTTACCTTCAGTGCTAGTGAGATTTAGAGTAGCAGATTTAGGACATAATTCTGAAGAGCACCTCTGAACACCCTGCTTTTCTCCACTAAATTGAATATAATTTATTCAATTATTTCACAAACTTTTCCAGATACTGTGTGGGTCCATGTGCAAGGATGGAGGAGGACAGGAGAAAACAGGATGAGCCTCCCTTCCCCCCAGCTTTCTCTCTACCCTGCAAACAGAATGTTTTGATAAGTGAGGGCTGGGGACAGCATAAGGGTGACAAACTCCACCTCCCCCACCAATTAAAATTTTTAAAAAGCTGCTATGGAAGGAGCGAATATTAGTTTCCTGATTTATAAAGCCAAATGGATTAAGCTCATTCATTGCCCGAGGAAACAAAAAGGAAATCTTCAATACCTCTGTGCACATTGAGAACAGGAACAATACTGGTCTTTAGAAAGCAGAAACCTAATTTGGGGGAATCAATTACCCTCTGTGTCCCTGCCTCTGTGGGCTCTCTCACTTGCTCTCTCTCAATGGGGATTTCCTGGGAGGTAAAGTGTGGAGAAGTTGATCAGCCACAGGAACACCCTTGGTTCAGCCTTGCAGCCTAGGCTGAGGGGGGTGGGGGTGTGTCTGGGTGTCAGGCACTTGTGGAAATGGGGGCAGGGCAGGGTAGGAAGGGCTTTGGAATAAAACTGGAGGAGGGGACAGTACTGGGATGGGCCAAGGAAGGGGGCGATGGGAACCTGGTATTTATAGCTGGGGGTGCGGAGCAATTACCATAGCCCAGCCAGTGCACAAACAGGTGATGGCAGGGCAGGTACTGTGCTTCAGCCTGAACCCAGCGTCACCCACCAACTCCTGATTCTCCCAGTTTCTCTTCTGAGGTCTACGCTTTTCCCCGTGGGTTTGAGATCGCAATGGGCAACAATGGGGCAATTATGAAAAAAGAAAGGGGACCGGACCGGGTCGCCTGCCACAGTACCCACGGAGTCACATTCACAAAGTCACACACAGAATCACTCTCACAATCTCAGTCATTCCTGAGCTGGGTCTCAAACCCTAGCCCACAGGCCCCAGGCCCATGCACTGTACAGTCCCTTACAATCACACGCAGGGAGTCCCACACTCACAACGGCAAGGTCACAGACTCAAAACTACACCCCACTCTCGCCCTCCCACCCTCAACTGCACACATTCCACCACCCGCATCTCATCTTAAGCTCATACAGCGGCTCACCACCCCACACAGCCCTCACTCTGGCATAAGGGGACACACACACACACACACACACACACACACACACACACGCACGCACGCACACACGCACACACTCTGGCTGTGCTTTTGTGTTTTGTCAGAATTAATGAGAAAAGTTCCCGTGCCCTGTGGGTAATTAGTGTCCTTGGAGTTAAATAAGCTAATGGCGGGCACCTCTGGCCCAAGCAATTATGTTTGTGTATTGAATAATTGATTCAAAGGGGGGAAGGGCCGCTAATCAGATCTGCGCATAATGAATTGATTTAATTAACAGGGGAATCTAAGAGGCCCTGGGAAACGCAGGCTTCACTCGGCTGGGGCGAGCGCGGCCGGCGCGGAGAAAGAACGGGCGCGCGGCGGCTGCGGCTCCGGCCCGGCCCGGGCGGCGGCTGCTCCCGCGGCACCTCGCGCAGCTCCGGCGACCTCAGCCCGGCAGACGCACCTCGCCCCCGCCTCTGGGTCGCGCCTTGTCCGCGGGGCTGAGCTCCCGGAGCGCGTCCGTCCGCCCCCATCTGCGGCCGCCGCTCCCGGGGCGCGGAGCCCGCGCGGGGCCGGCGAGAACAACGCAGGCGGCGGCGGCGGAGTCCGAGCCGCGCGCCCCTCCGCGTCCTCGGCCGTGGCAGACCGGGGCCGCCCTGCGACCATGGTGTTGGACCAGGAGGACGGTAGGTGCCCGGCGCGCGAGGTCTGGAACGCGTGGGGCGTGCGGTGCAGGGTGGGGAACGCGGCGCGGGCCCTGCGGAGGCCACCCCAGTGCCTCCCGCGCCCGCCCGGGCCGCCTTGGGCCGTTCTGCTGCTTACGGGAAGCGTGGCTACTGGATGTGCGCTCGGGTGTGTGTGTCGGGGTTGCTTGCCTGGGCGCCCGAGGCCCCTCAGCTGGGTTAGGAAGTCCCACGGGCCACGCGGAGCCCGCCAGCCCCGCACGCGCCGGCCGGGAACTTTCTCACTGGCTCGCGCCGCCTCGCAGGCATAGGGAGCGCCTTTCTCAGCCGCGCCGCGGGCTTTCCGAAGGAGTCCACTGCCCCCCAGCCTCCCAGCCTCCCAGGGCGTTTGCACGTCCCCCATTCCGCACCCGACTGCGGAATGGCTCCCCCAAGGGGATGCGCAGAGAACTTGCGGGTGAGCGTGCAATCAAAGCAGCTTGGTCCTGGTCCCTTCAGTCTGGAACTTCCTGTCTGCGGGGTGGCTGACACGGCTTCGCCCGGCCGGGCTGAGGAGGGCACTGGTGCTCGGTTCCCCAGGCCTAGTCTGTGGAGAGCTGCCGGGCTGGCTAGGGTAAGTGGGTGGGCTATACCTCCAAAATAACAGGGTGAAATTACCTTGAACCTAATGAGATCAAAGTTTCAGAGTTCTTCAGTGGTAATTTTGTATTAGTCATCTTGAATTCCTTTCTTAAAAAGCCCCCACCCCCGCAGCCCACACCCCGCAAAAAATTGGTTCTCACAAAATCTGGGTTCACCTTCGATCCAACTCACGCCCTTTCCCATTCCATGCTAGCTGCCAGTCTCTCAGGCGAATTCAGCCCTGCTGGCCATGGACCATCCCCAGGAGCCAGGGCAGTTCCTTAGTGCCTAGGAAATGAGGCCCTGAGGCAGGAAGCTGGGCGATTTGGGGTTGGCAGGCAGCTGCTGGTCTGCAGGGAAGGGTCTAGCTGCCGGGCCTCTCTCTCTGGCCCCACTAGTTCCTTGTTCCATCCTACCACATCTCACTATGGTCAACTCTCCTGGTTTGCCAAGGACTGACGGTTCTGGCTTTAGTGCTCAAAGTCCTGTTTCCTGAGACACCCCTCATTCCCCTGGAGAAAACCTGTACAGCTGGTTAACTTTCATCCACAACTTTCTCAGAGCAGTTGTGTAGGGGTGGGGTGGGCTTCATCAAGGGGGTGGGAGATAGATTTCTGGCATGCAGATTTGGCCTAGGCCTCGTGGAGGCCTAACACATTATTACTGCAGCTTCCTAGAAGGCCTGTCCAGGGCTTCCAGAAACCAAAAGAGGAAAAGTTTGCTGACTGTGCATTTCTCCACTCTAGCCAGTTGCAAATTCCTGTGCATGGGCTGGTTTTGTGTGAGTAGGGGGCTGGGCAGGTCATCTAAAATTGGCCACCTGTCATCCTGATTGTACTGCAGGATCTGTAGGTTCACTCTGTTCTGTAACTGTGGCGGCCACAGGGAAAGGACCCTTGTCACTCTGAGTGCCTCTCTGAGTATATCAGCTTGTGACTTGGTCTTGGAGACAGCTGTCCTGTGCTGGGAGCAGGGCCCTCAGGCTGCGGCACATCTGACAACCTCCACTAAAGAGTTCTGGAAGATCTGGTCTGACCAGGCCCTCAGGCACTGTCTCTCCCTTCCTTTCCCAATCACAATTCAGGAACCCTTATTCAGGACTTTCCTGCCAGGTCCAGCGACAGGACTGCTAGGACCTGCCCAAAACTTTGTAGAGCAGCCAGTAGCACCCCTTTTCTCCTCACCACAACCCTGGGGGATTATCAGCTGGCCTTTCTCTGCTGTCCCCAAAGGCCTTTCAAAGGCATTTGGAACACACTTGGCAGTATCCAAGCTTGTCACCTGTGGAATGTGTTGGGCACAAACTGCTTCACCCAGCCCCAGGGGATTGAAGGTTTCCACCCTGAACCTGGAGGCAGCTTGGGTGGGGGTAAGCATGGGCATGGGGGTTACCTGCCTGCCCAGCAATTCCCATGAGCTGAGAGGTAGGCTGCCAGTTGAGTGAGGCTCATGTCTGGCTCTGTCAACTCAGCAGGCCCCTTTCTGGCTGGAAGCTCAAGACCCCTTATCCTCCAAGGCTTGCTGGGTAGCTCTGTAAACCAGAAGGCTTCTGTGGATGGCCTTCTCCAGATCAGTGTGGGAGCTTGATGCTCACAAGTGGGGGTGCAGAGAGAGCTGCCTGTGGGCACAAGTAGCCTTTCACACATAGTGCCAGTCCCCTGCAGACATCACCTACCCGCTGTGCAGCCCATTACTCAGCAGCACCCCTCCTCCCCAGCCTGCTCCAGTCCCTAGGTCAGGGCCCCTGACTCCCCAGAGGGATGCCGGCTGTGTGGATGCTAACTGGGCACCTTGGGGCTGGGGAGAGCTAGTGTTGGGATAAAGAGTCCCAAGCATAACACATGGATGGGAGAGTGGGAAGATGGCTCCAGCTAGTTGAGCCCTGGTTTGTGGGCCAGACCCACTGAAAGTGAGAAGAGGCCCCCCACAGTCTCGTGTAAAGCTGCATCCTGGAGTGAATGCCTCCAGGTAGCACAGAGGTGTCTGCAGCAAGAAGCTACCCCTTGCCAGCCTGTCAGGCCCACTGCTTGCCACACTGTCTGGCCCCAGTCCAGGCTAGGGTGGGGTGAAGGGTTGGCACCCATGTGCCCATGGCATCAGTGCCATAGCTTCCCTCAGATCCTTGGGGTGTGGCTCGGGCCACAGTGGCAGGGGAGAGATGGAGCTTGCAGTCCTGAGGGACAGTGAAAAATATTTAACATCAGATATACTTAAGCACTATTATGATTAAGTATTCAAGATGAAGGAGAAAGTGAAACTTTCTGAGCTCCAGATGAGGTACTGCATTAGAAGCAGCCTCCCTTCTGTTTTCTCAAACCCTGGCCTCCCCACTTAGGATAGAGGGAGATGGGCTGCAGCACCACTCCCCCATTTCTCTCCCCTGTCAGGCACCCTTCACTGGGGCTCCCAGGGCTTAAGAGGCACAACCTGGCTCCCAGCTCTCACTTGTATCCAATAAACCCCCCAAATGTCCAGAGCGCCACAGTTTACAAAGCACATTCATATGCATTATGTCCATCTCATCTCCACAACAACCTTGGATAGCAGAGCAGTTCTCCCACTTCACAAGCAGGGAAACTGAGGACCAGAGAAAGAAAGTGACTTGCTAAGGTCCATGTTTATAATAGGCAGAGATGGGATGAAATCCCTACTGGTCACCCTTAGCACCTCCAGGGACTTCAGTTTCCTTCTCCTTGCCTAGGTCTGGTTCTCAGAACTGGCTCCAGGGATGACCCTCTGACACTCCGTCTGGAGCCTTCCTTGGGCTGGAGAAAAGCCATTAAGATTTCCATCACATCCTGGAACTTGGCACTGTCAGGGAGAAAAAAAAAGGCTCTTGGTATTTAAGAGTGGCCTTCCTGGAGTAGGCAGCCTGGGCACCAGCTCCAGGACTCTAGGGAGAACGGTTCAGGAGGAAAGGAGATGGACACTTTTCCCTTCCTGTCTCCTGAGTTACAGGGCAAAAAAATGTCAACTTGGTGGTAGCAGGAATCTCTGTTTTGTTCACTGCTGCCCCAGTGCCTTAATATGTGCGCTCAGTAAATAGTTGTAGAACGAGGAAAGCCTTCAAGGCCATGCTGTACTTGCTCAGAGAGAAGTTGAGACATGATCCCACTCCCTATGGAACCCGGATGCTCTTGGGGAGCTGCTGGGGTGATGGTATTGTATGTCTCACAGTGGGAGAATTCGTGCCCAGTGGAAGGTTAACTGCCAAACAATCCAGCAGGCAGCTAGAAACCCTAGGCAGAGCAGGTGGGAAGGGAAGGTACAAGGTCAGAGAAAGATGGCCCTGGTTTGGGTCGGGGGACGGGGGCAGAAACCAAGGCCGAGGGGATGGGAGTGACAGATGGGGTGGTTCAGCTGACAAATAAGGGATGAAGACCCTGGGTCCTGAGCAGAGACACGTACCAAGCTCGGGCTGAGCGGCCTCCAGGTGGCGCTGCGGAGCCGAGAAGCTGCTCGACTCCACTCCCCATTAACTCGGCAGGGAGAGGGGGGGCCTCGGGAAATGTGTGCATTTATTCAGTAGCAGGAGTGCAAACCTCATACATTGAGGGAGAAAGGCAGCGGGAGACAGCCGCCGAGATTCCCCCATCTCTTTGAATATAATTTTAGATTGAGATTCAGATTAAATCCGAGGGGAAAACACTTTATGAGGCTGAAAGCTGTGTCGTTGCCAGAGCCAGGGTTATGAGCTATCAAATGCAATTACTTAAGACAGATTATACTGGGCAAATTGAGCCATTTAGAAGGTGAGAATCAAAGAAACGGCTCTGATCCTCTTTTACCCCTTCTCTCTCCCTTCCTCTCTCTCTCTAAATTGCAATTCGTAGTTCCTTGCAATTCTGAGGCACAAAAGTAGGTGAGACTGCTTTTGTATCTGCGAAGTGCTTCACTCCTGAATGTAATTCTAGCTGAGTGCAATCTAGGTTAAGAGCCGGACAAGCGGGTAATTAGAGCCCGCTCACCGCCCGAGGACCGGCCGCCCGCGGAAGCGCGCCCGGAGTAGGCGCCTTCTCCCAGCCGAGCCGAGCTGCGGCTGGACACGGAGCGCCCGAGATGATGGTGCTGGACAAGGAGGACGGTAGGTGGCGGGCGGAGGTCCCGACGCCCTGAGCCCCCTACCCCCCTGGCGCGGCGCGGGGTGGGTGGGTGGGGGGACACACAGCCGGGACACGGGCGCACACATGCCGGGCTTTGCGGGATTGACAGGCAGGCGGGGCGCTGGGCCTGGGTGGGTGGGGGGTGTAGGGGTGCTGGAGAGGCCGGGGGGTCTCGGGGCGGGGGCGTGAGTGAGCCCGGGCCCCGGCCGCGGGCGAGCAGTGCGCCGGCCTTGTGATGCTCTTCGGGGCCGCGTGGAGGCTCCGGCTCCCCTCCAGGCTCGGCGCAGTGGTGCTTCGCGCAGAGCGTTTCGTCTTTGCGGCTGCACCCTCACCGCAGCCATCACCCTCGTGCCGGCCGCGTAACCCGAGCGCTGAGCGCCTAGCAAATCAGTGGCTTCGGAGAATCGGACTCCAGAGCTTCCGGAGAGTGCGCGCGCGGGAAGACGGCGCTCGCCTCGGGGAGCCCGGCGGGCGAGGGGAAGGCCAGCTGGAGCCTGGGGACACAGCCGCCCGTGAGCATGCCTCCGTGAGAAAAAGAGACGCCTCTCCTCTTGGCCCACTGTCTCTGGCTCCTGAGCACAGAGACGGGGAGTTCGGCCCAGAGGAAGAAAGTATCCCGCTACCGGCCAGTAGCACTCCTGCAGCAGCGGCCGGCGAGGGTGGCGTGGACCTGCCTGGTCAAGGGCCCAGGTGTGCCTCAGAGGTCAGAAAAGAGGGGGCCCATGGTTGCTGGAAGCCGCTAGCAGGTGGTCTCACATGCCCCAAAGCCTTGCCTGACTGGGAGTGCCCTGTAAGTGTGGTGCAGGTTTGCACCAGAGAAGTTTGTGAACACAGCCCCCTTGAAAGTAAAAACCAACTGGGTGCCCTGTGATCCAAGGGCAGCCTGTAGGTCAGGAGAGTGGCCATTCTCTGCCTGTTCAGGCCCTGCTGCCTGGTTTGGTGGTAGTGTGGGGATGATGTGGGTGCTGGCAATCCATGCTGCCACCTGCCTTCTACTTGTAAAGGACTGAGAAGGTGGATTTGCTGGGAGTCAGCAGGAATCCTCTCAGAGTAATTAGAGGGTCATCCTCTAACCTTCTGTTAGTGCATCTCCACTGCGCTGGTGCCCTCTGCCCACTAGGTCAGGGTGGTATTGACATGTTCACTTGGTGAAAATTCCAAGTGACTTGCTCAAGATCACACAAGATGTTCATTTTGCTGCTACCACAAGCTGATGCCCTAGCTTCCCCACCACTCAGACCTCCAGCTGGGAGCAGCATCTAAAGTGTCTGGCCTGGGGGTGGCATGTGGGGAGCCCTGCGGCCAGTAAGCCCACGGAGACCATTTCTCAGCATGTGTATAATACAAGAGGAAAGGAGGAACTACATGCTTCTGGCCAAAAGAATCCATTTGCCAGGGTCTGATTGGAGTGTGACATCCATCTCCGGGATGCTCTTCTCCCCTCCCCGGGCTCTGTCAGAGGACCAGGCTTGTGCCCTTGTGTATAGAATGAAAAGGAGAAGGAGCAGAAAGACAAGGGGGTAGGAAGCCTTTTTTCACTAACTCCCTATTATCACAGGTCAGTCATGGCCATCTCTAGACTTACTTTCCCCCTTGGTAAAATGAGGGGCTTGGAGAAGTCAGTGCAGAGGGTCCTTCCTTGGTGTCTGGGAGCACTCTACTGTGGACAGCATGTGGAAATCAGCCTCGATTATTTGGTAGGTTGGCTCCCCAGGCGCAAGCCAGAAATCCAGAAGACCCGGGAGGCCTCGACAGGGAGATTGGTCTCATGCAGACAAGATGGCCCCACCACTACCACAGTGCTCTGTGCAGGCAGCCCAAAGTGATACTAAAGGCTCTGTGATACCAAAGGTTTTTAGATGAACCCTGAATGGGAATGAATCTCTGGAGGTCATTTTAGCCAGTCTCCTCTGCCTCCAGACCACAGTGCACCTCAACCACCCCAGGCATATGTGTTTCCCCTAGTCTCCATCAGAACTTTTATGGTGACCCACAGTTCATGCCATTGAGCTCTACGGCCCATTACAGCAAGAAGCAAGGAGATGGCTGGGGTCCTGAGGAGCTGCTTAATTCTTCTGCCCAGCTCAGAGGTAGCCTCCAGAAGCAACCTTTGTGTTCATAAATCCACCCTCCACTCCCCAGTGGAGTCTGGCGTCCCCTGGTTCCAGGAAACTGTGAAGAGGCTTAACTCTTCATGGTGATTTTCCTGGCAGGTCCTGGCTGGGGGAGGAAGAAAGGCTCCGGATCCACTCACCTGCCCCTGCAAACCCACTGCCCAATTACGTACTTCGGCAGGTGGCCGTCTGGCTTCCAAAACAACATCAGCTCCCAGGGCCCCCAAGGAGTGCGTTCCTCAGGGCTGCAACAGTGCACCCTTAGTCTGGCTGCAGCAGGGGCTCTGGGCTCTTATTAACCACCCCCAACGCCTTTTCTCCACCTCACAGTGTCTTGTCAGAAGAGGCCAGGGCTCCTCTGGTTGAAGTCGGGTCTGCCAGCTGCCAAGCACCAAAGCTCTTGCTCTGCTGGGCTGTGGGGCTTTCATGTTGTACTTCTGAAAGATCATAAAATATCAATCGCTTTGCCGTAGCAACGGGTTTAAGAGACTTTCTGAAGTATTGAATTGTCAGAAAAAAATTTTTTTTTTTGCTTTTAAGCACAGTGCATTATTAATAAAGTAATCCATTAGGTCGAGCAGTGAAGGGCCACCACAGAGAGGAAAGATCTGTTTGCAAATGGTTAAACTTTGGGTTTTAAGATTAATTGCTTTCATTTGGACGCTTGCTCTTGGCCTAGCCATCTCCACTTTACTGGAACTCAGGGTCCAGGCTTTCTAAATGCCGTCGGACCTGCCTGTCAGCAAAGGGAGCCCAGCTCCAACTTTGCTGGAGAAAGAGCCTTATTTCCCTGGCACCAGCTCTTGGGCTGGCACTAGGCTGTGGGCTTTCTGGGGAGGCTTGCAGTCCCAGGGGAGTGAAGGGAGTTACTGCCCTGAGCCTTGAGAGTTAGATCGCTCCTCAGGCTGTTGGAAAATAGGCCCTGGAGTAGGGACAGACCGCAGAGAGTCCAAGCAGCTCCAAGAACAGTGGGAGCCTTGGGTTGTTGGGGGACTGGGCAGGAGAGGATGCTGAGGGCACCCCTTTGAGGGTTCTGGGGTGTTCCCAGGTTCATGCTGGAGCAGGGTGGTTCTGGGTGTGAGCTGCCAAGGACCAGCAGGAAGGCTGGGGTGACCACAGGAAGCAGCAGGCAGACTGTGAAACTAAACGCCGGATATGATTCCTAGGGTATTTTTAATAAGTAAAAATGCCCAAGGAGAGTGGAGCTGGACTGAGGAGGACCAGAGAGTGAGTCTTCAATTGTTAATGACCACTGTGAGTATGGCCTCCACAGCTGACTGTTGATCCTTGGGGCAGACTCTTGGCTCTGCATCAGTACTGACCAGCCATAGCTCAGCCACAGGACCTCCCGGGATCTCCCATGATGCTCCAGACCATAGAGAGTCCTGGGGCCTCTTCTGGCTGCTGAGTACTGGGCCTCACAAGGTGGGCAGGGTGGGAACCAGGCCTGGCACTCGCCCAATTCCTGGAAGAGGAGTCATCATCTGCACCTACCATGCCAGCCCCAGCAGCAGCTACCTCCTCACTGCTGGGAAAGAGGCATCACAAATCTTGAGCAGCACAGAAGCTGCTTCCCCTTCCTGCTTTACAGAGCACCTGTAAAGATGGGTCTCCCCTACCCCTTCTGTAGCCTTGTAAAAAAAAAAAAACAGATGCTTTTCTCTGTTCCCTGCTTTTCCATTCATTTGCCCACATGGAGCACTAAGGGGGGGACAGGGAAATAACATAAATTGGTCTGTCGTCCGGAATCCATGTCTTGCTAATGTACCCAGATTAACTCAACTGTAAATTGTCTCCTTGGATGGTGGTGTCTTGCTAAAAGTTTCCCATATGATTCATGATTTGGATTGCTTTTAACGACTATTGGCTAAGCAAGCTGGTGACTGTACAAGGTGATGCAATTGGCATTAGTGAGGGGAGGCACGGGAGCGTGTAATGCAGTCAATACTGCATTAACTACTGATGCCCAATTACAGGCAGTGGGAGAGAGCCTTTCAGGAGCATTAGGATGGGGGAAGCTGAGCTCACTGGCCACTGCTCGCCTAAAAGCTTCACCCTTTGTGTGCTGGGGCTTCCGTGCTGGCATGGCCCTCACTTGGCCTCTGTGGCTGTGGGAGCAGCCTTTCTCTCTTGCTGCCTCTCTCTCTCTCTCTGAACATGTCCCACAAAGATGCTTTTAGCACATGGAAAAAGGCATTTTCCTAGAGCCAGGGCCTGCCTCTCATCCCTTCAAAGAATTGATTCCCCACCTGACCCTGTGTCCCAGAGTCAGACCTGGCGGCTGCCCCACCCACTTCCATTTAAGGAGCCTCTCAGCAGGCCCCATTTGTGAGCTGGACCAAGAGGAGGTCTATTTTAGTCTCTTTCCCTTGGAACAGATGGATGATTGCCAGCAAGCATTGGCGGCCAACCCCCTGTGGTAATGGGCTCGGGAGACATGAGGTTCAGCTTCAGCACAGCTGGGCTGCTGGTGCAGGGCTGTGGAGTTGGGAAGTGGCTGTGACTGGACAGGCTGGGCCTTCTTTGAGCAGAAGACAGAGCTGGGGAGGCCAATGGTGGCATGACCCAAGTCATGCTGGGGTCCTCAGCAGATGTGGGTCCCCTCAAGAGCTGGATCCCACCCAGGGCAGAGTGCTCCCAGTAGGCCAAGGCTACTGTTCACATCCATCTCCAGGAACCCCTGATCAGGGGCAATAGGAAGATTGGAAGGAGTTGGTGAGAAAGAGAAAAGGGCATGGGTACCCACCCCCGTGTGCCAAGGACCATTGAATTAGCTGCTATCTCCACCATCCTTCTGAGCTCTGTGGTCCAATATGTCCACCCAATTTGAAGTTGCTTTGCCTCTATCCTGTCATCTCTATAATGAGAACCTTATATAACTGGTTTGATTGTTATCAGAATTAAATGAGGTAATGCCCACGTACACATGTGATGACCAAGAAGAACCTCCTGGCTCTGTGCGGTGATACTGCTCTCTGCCCAGCTGCAGTGTGAACTGCAGTAGCCCACTGCTAGGCACAGGGCCCTCACCTTTCCTCCTCCAGTTTACCCCTGGCCATTGATCACTGCTGTCCAGGGGGCAGGCTGGCCTTGCTACTCTAGATCCCCAAGGCAAGTCGCTTCATGGGAAGAAACCTCCAAGATCACTCTTCGCAAGCCCCTCCATTTAGAGGGGGATGGTTGAGGCTTACGGGTACAGGAGAGTTGCCCAGGGTTATGTAGGGAGATAGAGCCCAGAGCTTCAGCATCTTTCTAGGTTCCATGCCCTCTTCCCTGGCCCCCCCGCAAAACATGATGAGGCTAAGTGGTAGAAAACTCTGATTAGGAGAACAGCGGCTTGGATTGGCATCACGTTCTGAGGCACCGCAGTGCTGGCCTTTGCCAGCCTACAGACAGCCCATGGGATGTGGTTCTGTCCTCAAATGTAGGACCTTCTGGCAGGTGCTGATGGGTACTAACCTGGCCTGCACCTTCATGGCTAGAGGAGCCCCAGAGGCCCATATGGCATGTCCCATCCCTGCCTTCCTGCCCTGTCTGGAGTTGAGGGACACAGAAGCATGCAGGACATCTTCCTAC